TCCTGGCGGGCAGCCTGCCCAAGAGTCTGAGTCTGAGCGATAGCGGCCTCTCGGGCCGGGTTTCGCTGAGGACCCCTGGTTTCGTTGGGGGGGCTCCTTACAAATTGGTTGGTTTTGCCTGATTCGGGCCCGGTTTCATTTGGGACGTCCTCACAATTCGCGTGGGTGTGCTTGATTAGGGCCATGGTTCGCTGCAGAAGTCCTCACTATGTGTCTGGCTTGGCAACGTTGTCAGCCCGATTTCACTGGAGAGGCCCTCACCGAATCCTTCGTACAAGAAGGTGCGCACGAAAAGTCTTTACATGTTTGGGACATTCGAGACGCATTATCATGATCCATTGCCCCGTCCTCCCTAATCGCAACCTATTATGCATGTTATGTGCTTCGTCGTGTTTCTCCTCCCTCCTCCCCGTCCACGTATCCTTTTTTCCCGCCCCCTCTTCATCCTCGTCGACCTCCGTCTCTATGACTAATATCGGAGGTGGGGCGGGGGGGGGGGGGGCGAGATCGCAGTAAAACGGAAAGCCCCCCGCCGGGAAATCGGTTTCGGTTTCGCGTTCGTGCGCGCGGGCGAGGCGAAGCTGCGTGGGCCGGCGAGAGGAGTGAACCCTCCTCTCGGGAGGCCGCGGACGGACTCTTGGCTCCCCCCGGGCTGTTACGCGATGGCTGGGATTGTCGCGCCGTGGTGTCGTGGTGTCGTGGCGTCGTGATCTCGTGGTGCCGTGGTGTCGTTGTGTGGTATCGTGGTGTCGTGGTGACGCGGTGTCGCGGTGTCGTGGTGTCGTGGTGTCGTGATGCCGTGGTGTCGTGTCGTATTGCCGTGGTGGCGCGGTGTCGTGGTGTCGCGGTGTCGTGGTGTCGTGTTGTCGTGGCGTCGTGGTCTCGTGGTGTCGTGGTTGGGTGTCGTGGGGTCGTGGTGACGCGGTGTCGCGGTGTCGTGGTGTCGTGGTGGCGTGGTGTCGTGATGTGGTGTCGCGGTGTCGCGATGTGTGGTGTCGTGGTGTCGTGGTGTGGCGTCGTGCTGTCGTGGTGACCCGGTCTCGCGGTCTCGCGGTGTCGTGGTGTCGTGGTGTCGTGGTGTGGTGTCATGGTGTCGTGGTGTGGTGTCGTGGTGTCGTGGTGACGTGGCGTCGTGGTGACGTGGTGTCGTGGTGTCGTGGTGTGGTGTCGTGGTGTCGTGGTGTGGTGCCGAGGTCTCGTGGTGTCGTGGTGTGGTGTCGTGGTGACGCGGTGTTGCGGTGTCGTGGTGTCGTGGTGTCGTGGCGTCGTCGTGTGGTGTCGTGGCGTCGTGGTGGCGTCGTGTCGTGGTGTCGTGGTGTGGTCTCGCGGTGTCGTGGTGACGTGGTGTCGTGGTGTCGTGGCGTCGTGGTGTCGTGGTGACGCGGCGTAGCGGTGTCGTGATGTCGCGGTGTGGTGTCGTAGTGTGGTGTCTTGGTGTCGCGGTGTCGTGGTGTGGTGCCATGATATCGTGGTGTTGAGTCGTGGTGTCGTGGTGTGGTGTGGTGGCATCGTGGTGCCGCGGTGTCGCCGTGTCGTTGTGTCGTGGTGGCGTGGTGTCTTGGTGTGATGTCGTGGTGTCGTGTTGTGTTGTCGTGGTGTCGTAGGGTGGTGTCGTGGTGTCGCGCTGTCGTGGTGTCGTGGTGTCGTGGTGTCGTGATGTGGTGTCGTGCTGTCGTGGTGACGCGGTCTCGCGGCGTCGTGGTGTCGTGGTGGGATAGCGGGACCAAGAGTCGGATGGATAGTGAGATTGATACGTAGTGAGATCGGTAGTGAGATCCAGAGTCGTTGCGTGTGCGTCTTCACCAAGAAGCATTGTCTCAGTCATCGCAGTTGTCATCAGTTCGTTCCTTCCGCCGCCCCCGTCCCCCACCCCCGCCCCCCCCCCTGCACATGCACACACGCACACACACACACACACACGCGCACACACACACAACCTCCTTACCACCCGAGGGGTTGTCGTATAGTATCAGTTGTCCATTCCACGGGGCGGGGCCGCGCCCCGACCGCCGACGACGAGGGCGTCGACGACTGAAGTGCGAGTTCGCACATGCCGCACGGGAAGTCCCCAGGACCCCCCCCCCCCCTCCGGCCCCCCCACCGGGCCTGTAGAAGTATTGTCGGAAGTGTCACCAACGAAGCCAGAGCCCACGCGCGGACTGCCTCTGCCCTGCGCCCCCCATCCTCCAACCCTCGCCTGATCCTCGTCTAGCCCCATCAACATTCTGGTCCTGCTGATGCTCACGATGCCGCCGCCCCTCGTCCTCCGCAGAGCGCTATGCTGGCTTTTTGCATCGCGCACACGGCTAAGCATGCGCGGCAGGACGCGTCTGCTCACCGATGGAAGTACCCATCCCCCTGATCAGCGGAGACTAAGCAGGGACGCCCTTCAAGTCATTACGGGCCTCTGCCAATTCGTGCAAGAAAATGCTGGTCCACCGGTGCATGTGCTGCACCATGTACTTGTACCTGTTCGTGACACGGAACGTCTGCTCGCAGATGGAAGAATTCACCCCCTTGAGCAGCGCGGCGTTCTCAGGTACATATGGGTGGCAATTTGCCAGGCACCACTCGTCCACGTGCCCTTTCGCGTGGAGGCGGTCCGTAATGTGATGCATCGCGGGGTATGCGAGCTCAGCCGCCGCCGCCGACTCATGTGCCCGCGCACCCGCGAACTTCCGGAGGTGGCAGGAGTCATCGTGCACCGAGACGTTGAAGTCCATGATTCGACGCAGCTCGGCCAGGAAAAAGTACCTCTGAGACAAGCTCTCCGTGCCGTTGAACTCTTTCATGTGTAAGATGTACCCGTCCGGGTTGCGCGCCGCCAGCCAGCCCCCGGAGCGCTGCGCGAGCGATCGGCCTTTCACCGCTTCCTTGTGAGTCTGACACCCAGTCGCACCAAGCGCGGCCTCGTCGGATGCCAAAGTCACGTATCCGCAACACTTGGACCAGTACTCTGACAGATCCGGCGCAGACCCGCTGCCGCTGTGGCGCACCGCCAGCCTCCGCTCCCCCGCGGACTACTGCCACTTGGTACGCCTGTGCGTCCGCCGCGTCGAGGAGCGCCTCCGTCTTGCGGTGCGCGACGACCTTGTCGGGCGCCGCTTGCTTGCCTCGCACGCGTCGGGCACCTTGCTCCTTGCACTGATGCTTCAGGCAATGCCGACTACCTCTCGCGCGAGTCTCTGGGCACGAAATGGCCGTGAATTTCCCCAGCCGGCGCGAGTGAATGAGCGATGCCAGGGGTCGTCCGCAGACCCTCCACCGACGGAGCTTAGCATTGCCATCGAAAACAACGATGGCGTGGATCTTCGGCCTTCTGCTCATGCGCCTCTGCAGCATGAAATCCTCGTACCACGGGCTGACGCTGACGGCGAGGTCGGCCGGGTCCATGGACAGGTTCACTTCTTTCTCAGGGACGCTCAAGCTCTTCGCTGCGCAGCGCTGGTGCGTGCGCACGACGATGCGCCAAGCCAACCATGCCCCCCTCAACTTCTTCCGGGCTTCATCGGGCACGTCGGCGAGGCCGCCCGCCCGGCGCGCCGCGGCCCTGTGCACCGCGGCTTCGCCAGTGAAGGATGCGAAGTGACGCACGAGGCGCTGGGTGCACTGCCGCAGCCGCGCAGTCGTCACGCCCCAGCCGGCCGTGCAGAAGAAGTACTGCATCTCCGCGCCTTCCGGCCATGACCAGAAATGGTGTTCCGCGCCTGCCTCCGACTCGCTCCAATAATTGTGCCAGACATAACGCCCAGACAGCCTGCACTCCTTCGAGCGGCATCGCAAGGGCGTGTGGGCGACGCGCTGCCAGCCGTCGACGAAGAGCACTTTCGCGTCAACGCTCTTGGACGAGCACACCTGCATGGCCATGTCGCACCCCGTGCAGATCCTTCCCGGGCACTGCGCGCACCTCTGGGGCGGCTGGAAACCCGCGGCCGCGAGCGCCGCGGCGACCTGGGGCGCCGCGCCGAGGAGCTCCGGGCAATGTGCTGCGAGCGCATCTGCAACAAGCTTCGCCGGTATCGTGCCCAGCCCGCCAGGCACCTGCAACGCCATGCCCCCTGCCGCGCCGACCCGCCTCCGGGGGCTTGCGCGCAGGCCGCCGCTGGGCAATCGCGGCTCGCCCTCGCAACCTCTGCCAGCCCGCCCCTGTCTCGCTCCCGCCGTGTATTCGTATATATCTCTCTCGTTAAATCGTTATGTATACAAACATGTATACATCTATAAAAAGGCGCGTGTTACTTCACATTATCTGTATATATATATATATGTATATATATATATATGTATATATATATATATATGTATATATATCGCTGTCTCTCTCTCTCTCTCTCTCCCCCCCTTTGTCCCTCTCTCTCTCTCTCTCTCTCTCTCTCTCTCCTCTCTCTCTCTCTCTCTATCTCTGTCTCGCTCTCTCTCTCTCTCTCTATCTCTCTTTCTCTCTCACCGAGGTCTGTATCTCGCGCCGTCTGCCATGCTTGCAGAATTGTTTATCCATCTCTCTCTCTCTTTTTTTTTTTTTTTTTTTTTTTTTTTTTTTTTTTTTTTTTTTTTTTTTTTTTTTTTTTTTTTTCTCTCTCTCTCCTCTCTCTCTCTCTCTATCTCCCCTCTTCTCACCATGACTCTCCTTTTTTTTTTTTTTTCTCTCTCTCTCTCTCTCTCTCTCTCTCTCTCTCTCTCTCTCTCTCTCTCTCTCTCTCTCTCTCTCTCTCTCTCTCTCTCTCTCTGTCTCTCGCCCCGCCCGACGGCTTGGGCCCCCCGCCCCCCGCCTCCCTCGGGCGACCGTCCAGCGCGGATGGGGCGGCCGGGCTCGTCAATGCGCGCTAGCCACGCCCCCGCCACCCCGTCGTTTTTTCCACGGCATCAATCGAAGCGCGCAGTGCCAATTGCCCCCGCCGCCGCGGCCCCCCGTCGGGGCCCCGCCGACGACCGGCCCATGTGCACGCAGGGATCGCTAGCGCGATCGACGCGCGACCGCTGGGAGTGCGCGAGCAGCAAAACTACTCGCCTGGCGCGAGCGCGCCCGCAGCCTCCGCACTCAGGGAAGCGCCCCCCCCGGCGCGCGCGGGCGCGCCCGCTGCCGCCGCGCCCGGGCCGGCTGCGCCCCCGGCGCGCTCTTCGGCTGCGCCGGCGGCCGGGTCGGCAGCGGCCCCCCGAGCGCGCTTCTTCGGCGGCCTAGCCGACTGCTTCTCCGCTCTCTTCGACGCGCACTCCATGTATGTCGCCAAACCCAACTGGCACATCTCCATGAGGCGGTTGTGGAACATGCCCGCGGCCGCCGCGTCGCCCTGCGGGGGTGCCTGCAGGTCGACGTATGAGTGGCCGCGGCGCTCGGGGACCTCTCGGGGGACATCAACTATCCGCCTCGCCGATCACGGGAAGCCCCCGCCGCCCCCATGGGCCCAGAATCCGCGCGCGCGCCCCCCCGGCGCGACCGCGGAGGCGCGCGCGCCCCAATCCTGGTCCGGGGGCTGGCCGGGGCGCGAGCGCGATCGGTGAGGCGAGTTGGTTGTGGCCCATCCAGACCTCGGAGTCGGTGCGGTGAACAAACGTGCCGACGCGGTACTTCTCCAGGCCTGCGCGCATGACGGCTTCCCAGTGCGCCCTGCACAATGCCTTCCTGGATCGCTTGGCCCCCTCGCCCGCCGACACCGCGGAGATGCTGTCGCACGCGTCCGGGCAGAAGACCCGTGCGCCCCCACGCATGAGCGCCTTCTTCATCACTTCTCGGTCCATCAAGATCACTGCTCCAACGTCGGGCCGCTGCACCTGCGCGCCCCCCTCCCCGTGCCCGACGTCCATGCTGGGCACCTCCGGATCGCCCGGCTTCAAGAGCATCAGCGGCTGCGCCGGCGCTGCCGCGGGCGCCCCGCCGCGCGGGGCTCCAGCGGGGTGGGCGGGGGGGTCGACGTCGGCTTGGGAAGTGCCCGCCCCCGTGCCGCCAGGTGCGCCCTCGCCGCCCTCGGGCTCCGGCACTGGCGGGGCCTGCGGAGTCGTCTGCGTCGCCTGCCACTCGTCGAAGCCTGGGAGACCATTCGGGGGCATCGCTGCAAACTGCCTGCGAGAAGCATTCTCCAGAGCCTGCGACGCCAAAGCGGCGGCGGCGTCCGCGTCGCCCGGCGCCCCCGCTTGCCAAGCTTTCCGGACATCGTGGCACAGGCGGATCAAGTCGAACCCCCGCACGACGTGCGCCTCCTGAACGCGCAGGCACCGGTTGCGGAAGTCGGCCGTGCCGTCGTGCTCGCCGACAGCGATCTCCAGCGCCAATAGAGCGGAGGACAGCATTGCCAGGTGCCATGGGGCTGCCCCGAGGCGCGCCGCCTCCTCCACGTCGCCATCGTCGCGCCGCACTGCGCACTCCGCGTTGAAGCAGACGCAGAGCCCCTTGTGGGCGAGCAACGCGTCCTAGGTCCAAGGAATGACGGCGTGCGGCGCCGAGAAGTACTCCAAGACGCGCTCCGCAAGCCTCTTCATGGTCATGTCCTCCGGGATGGGGACGGCCCTGTTCGCGACCCTGTGCTCCCCGACCCAAGCGACTTCTCCCCGCTCGCCGTGCCGTTTCCGGAACCGCAGACGGCTGGCCGTGCCGTCCACGAGCTCTATCATGTAGCCGCTGGCATCAGGGTCGAAAGCGTCGTCCGCGTCGCCCTCGTCGTCGGACTCGTTGCCGCAGTCTGGGCGCCGCCGGGCCCGCTGGAGCTTCGCCCTGGCCCCCGCTGGCGCGGCGACTTCAGCCGGCAAGCCCAGCGGGCCGATCATGCACATCAGCAACTTCGGCCACACCCACGGCTTGAAAACCTCCCCGGTCCGAACTTGCAGCCGGGCGGGTACCGGGGTGTGCGGCTCCGCTGGACGGCCAGTGACAAAGAGCAGTCGCTCTTTCGCTGCGACGTGGTTGGACCCAATGTCGCCCCTCTCCATAGGAATGATGACTGAGGGGCGCCCGTTCCCGAGGACGCCCATGCTGATGGTTGGCGCGGCCGCCTCGCCGTGCGCACCTGAGTTCTTTGTTGTGTAGCTCGCAGTGCCAGTCTGCAGGAGGCGGTTGAACTCGCTGGCCGCGTCTGTGACATCCAGAGCGTCGCCGCCCTTGCTTGCCGCGCCACCAGCGCTCACGAGGCCAATCATTCGAAGCATCTTGTAAGCCTCGTCCACGTTGATGAGAGTGCCAAAGTGCACTCGGCCCGGGCATTCGAGTTCGGCACCATTCCGTACTTGCCCCCAATCTCCCGCGCAGCGCTGGAATAACGCCGCGTTCGTGAAGGAAGTCAAGGTCGCCGAATTGACCTGCATGGGCGGCGGTCCCGCAGGTCCCCCCCCGAGCGCCCCTTGCTCTGCGTGGAGCCCGTCGCGCACGATGCCCTTAGCCCTGTCTTTGCTCTGCCCGTCGATCTCCTTAGACACTTCATGCATGGAGCTGTGCGTGGAAGACTTCCGAGTCTGCGGGTAGTTGACATTGATCACGGAGAGCATCAAAGGACTCGCGGGGCCGGGGAAGACAGCGACTTTGGCACCGTTCGTGCACGCCACCAGCCCCGCCATGACGCTGAGGGCGTACGGGAACTCATGGTGGGATGCCCGGGTACTGTGGCGCAAAAGCACTTGCGCCGCGCGCGGCCCCAGTATGACCGCGGACTCGAATGCGCCGTCCACGATGGCCCATGAGGCCCGCATCTCCGTGCGGTACTGGAGCTTCACAGCGGAGCCGAGCACGGGCATCTCTCAAGTCACTGGAGAAGAATCACTTGCACGTTCGCCGGTAGCGGCAGGCTCACCGAAATGCTCGGGCCAAACTCTGCGAGCGCGGCCCCGAGAACATTCGCAATTATGGTTGCGATTCTGGTCATGGCTGTGGTTCTGGCTTTGGCTTTCGTTCTAACTGTGGGTCTGGCCCTAGGCCTGACTGTGGCCTAGGTCAGGCGCTGGCTCGGTTTACGAATGTGATTATGGTTATGGCTCTGGTTGTAGCTGTGGCTTTGGTTATGGTTCTGGCCCTCGTTCTGGCTCTGGTTACCGTTCTGGATATGATTATGGTTCTGGCTGTGGCTCCGGTTTCGGATCTGGTTGTGGTTATGGTTGTGGTTCTGGCTGCGGCCTACCTCTGGCTCTGGCTCTGGGTACCATTCTGGCCGCGGCTCTGGTGCTGGTTCTGGCTTTAGCTGCGGGTGAAGCTCGGTGTCTGGTTCTGGGTATGGTTATGGCTCTGGTTCGGGTTCCGGCTGTGGTTCTGGCTCTGGTTCTCGTTCCGGCTCTGGTTGTGGTTCCGGCTGCGGTTCTGGCTCTGGATCTGGGTCTCGTTCTGGTTCGTGCTCGGGTTCAGGCTCTGGTTATGGTTCTGTCTCTGGTTATGGTTTTGCTCTGGTTATTGTTCAAGTTGTGGCTGCCACAAGACGGTCCGAGTGAGATTCATGAGGGTTGGCGCGGCGGCGGGATTTGCCGCAGGCAGCTGGTGTATGTCATGGTGAAACTGACACCTGCCCTGACGACGACCACGACGACGAGGATGGGCGAGGGAGGGATCGCAGGCGGCGTACAAAAGTGTTGCTTAATTCATTCCCTCAACAGTAGCGCTACCTGCTGCGGGTGCGCGGCTCAAGCGAGACCCAAAAAGTTGCACAGTTTTTCTTCCAAGGAGGAGGATGAGGAGGAGGACGGGGTAGGAGGAGGAGGTACTTCTGTTAGAAGCATCGGCCAAAGCCTGAGAGCACCGCGAAACGTACGAGCGCCCTATCGCCTATGATCACATTGTCGCTTGTGTGCACCTCCGTGCCTACGATCATACAACCCGGGTGCCCTGGGCCAGGGGTCCCCGCTAGCAATCTAGTTGGCCCGTCAATATGCGGGAAACGCCACAGCTCAGAAACCCTTGCTGGACACACTTCGCCTTTTTCTCTCGCAATGGGGCCTGCGACGCCCCGCGCAACGGGGGCAAAAGGGGGACAAAAAGGAAAAAAGGGGAACAGAGGGAGCAGAGGGGGCAAAATGGGGACAAAGGGGGGGCAAAAAGAGACAACAGGGGACAAAGGGGACAGAGGGAGCAATGGGGACAAATGGGAACAAACAGGGACAAAGGGGGCAGAGGGAGCAAAGTGGACACAAGGGGACACAAGGGGACAAAAGGGGACAGAGAGAGCAAAGGGGACAAAAGAGACAAAAAGGGACAAAGGGGACAGAGGGGACAGAGGGGACACAAGGGGACAAAAGGACACAAGTCGAACTTTTTCTGTACGAATATTCACCCCTCATGGCTGCTCCGCGCCACGGCTAAAGGATGCACTAAGAGGGCCGCTTCAAAAGGCCAAGAGGGCAGGCTCAAGCTGACAGCTGGGCCAAGAGGGCCACGCGGAGCCCCCAAAAATGATGTTCCCGTTAACTGATCCGAGAGGGCCGCCTCAAAAGACTCCGTCAAGTCTCCCTGCACCGAGGGCCTGCTGCCATGACCAAGCCAGCGCGCCGAGGCGGCTCATGCGATGAGCGCCCCCTAGCGCAGCCGAGTGACACCAAAGCCTCCTCCTCCTCCTCCTCCTCCTCCTCCTCCTCCTCCTAAGGCGGCAATGTGCAATGAGTAAAAGAATGATTGTTTCGCAGTTCGCAGCCCCGAGGTCGTCTTCCATTTCTAGTTTCCGGGGGCCCTCTAGCTTCCGGGAGCCCTCTTGGCAGCTTCCGGGGAGCCCTCTTGGCAGGCCTCCTGAGGCTCTCTTGTGGCGTCTTGAGTGGCTTTCGGGCCGTCTTGGGGCCATCTTGGGCCGTCTTGGCGGCCTCGAGGGCTGCTTCAGAAGGCCTCTTGGGCCTCCTGAGGGCGTTTTGTTGCGTTTTCGGTGCCAATGCGCAAAGGGGACAGAAGGAGCAAAGGGGACAAAATGGGATAAAAGGAGATAAAGGGGACAGAGGGAGCAAAGGGGACAAAAAGGGACAAAGGGGACAGAGGGAGCAGAGGGGACAAAAGGGGACAAAGGGGACAGAGGGAGCAAAGGGGACAAAAGGGGACAAAATGATACAAAAGGGGACAGAGGGAGACAAGGGGACAAAAAGGGAGACAAAAAGGGACAAAGGGGACGGAGGGAGCAAAGGGGACAAAAGGGGAAGAAAAGGGGACAAAGGGGACAGAGTGAGCGAAGAGGAGCAAAGGGGACAAAAGGGGACACAGGGGACAGAATGAGCAAAGGGGACAAAAGGGGACAAAATGAGATAAAGGGGACAGAGGGAGCAAAGGGGACAAAAGAGGACAAGGGGGACAGAGGAAGCAAAGGGGACAAAAGGGGACAAAAGGGACAGAGGGAGCAAAGGGGACAAAAGGGGACAAAAGGGGACAAAGTGGACAGAGGGAGCAAAGGGGACACAAGGGGACAAAAGGGGACAAAGAGGACAGAGGGAGCAATGGGGACAGGTGGGGGCAAAAGGAGGCAAAGGGGACAGAGGGAGCAAGGGGGACAAAAGGGGAACAAAAGGGGACAAAGGGAACAGAGGGTGCAAAGGGAACAAAAGGGGGACAAAAAGGAATAAAAATGGACAGAGGGGAGCAAAGCGGAAAAAAAAACAAAGAGGCCAGAGGGGGCAAAGGGGACAAAAGGAGACAAACTAATTTAGATGGGACAGAGGAAGCAAATGGGGACAAAAGGGGGCAACGGGGACAGAGGGAACAAAAGGGGGACAAAAGGAAATAAAAATGGACAGAGGGGGGCAAAGCGGAAAAAAAACAAAGGGGCCAGAGGGGGCAAAGGGGACAAAAGGGGACAAAAGAAGATAGATGGGACAGAGGAAGCAAAGGGGACAAAAGGGGACAACGGGGACAGAGGGAGCAAAGGGGAGGAAAGGGGGCAAAGGGAGCAAAGGGGACAAAAGATAACAAAGGAGACAAAGGGAGCAAAGGGGACAAAAGGGGACAAAAGGGGACAGAGGGAGCAAAGGCGACAGTGAATTGCTCGAAAATTGCTTGAACGTGTGATTAAACAAAGCACGCTGAAAACAATGAATTGCGTCCTGTGGCCCACGAGGCCCGTTTGGAACCGCCCGGCCCAGCCCAAACGTAGCCAAAACATGCACATAATCCCCCCCCTCTTTAGGAGTCTCAAGAAGCTCTCTCGGGGCGGCGGTAAAAAAACGGCGGCAAATGCAAATAATTTCTCTTTTTGACGCAGTACAGCCAGCTTTCAATGCCGCCCTTTAGACACACCGACAAAAGAGGGACCCCTAGAGAACCCTGCAGAACCCAGCCGCGAGGTGGACTGAGAACCACGGAGAACCCCCAGAAGAACCCAGAAATAAACAAACATATGAACCGAAAACATAATTTCCAAAATCGGCAGCGTTTCCCCCTTTTGACACACGACAAAAGAGGGGCCCCAAGAGAACCCTGCAGAACCCAGCCACTAGGTGGATTGAGAACCGCTGAGAACCCCGGGAGAACCCAGAAATAAACAAATATGGAACGGACACATAATTTTCAAAATCGGCAGCATTCCGCCCTTTTGACACACCGACAAAAGAGGGGCCCCAAGAGAACCCTGCAGAAACCAGCCGCTAGGTGGACTGAGAACCACAGAGAACCCCCACGAGAACCCAGAAATGAACAAACTATAGAACGAAGACGTAATTTCTAAAGTCGAGAGCATTTCCCCCTTTTGACGCACCGACAAAAGAGGGGCCCGAAGAGAACCCTGCAGAACCCAGCCACTAGGTGGACTGAGAACCACAGAGAACCCCCCGTGAACATTTTTTCAACATCGGCAGCGTTTCCCCCTTTTGACGCACCGACAAAAGAGGGGCCCCAGGATAACCCTGCAGAACACAGCCACTAGGTGGACTGAGAACCACAGAGAACCCCCAGGAGAACCCAGAAATAAACAACAATATTGAACGAACACATAATTTTAAAAATCGACAGCATTCCCCCTTTTGACACACCGACAAAAGAGGGACCCCAAGAGAACCCTGCAGAGCCCAGCCACTAGGTGGACTGAGAACCGCAGAGAACCCCCAGGAGAACCCACAAATAATCAAAAAGATTGACCGAAAACATTATTTCCAAATTCGAAAGCATTCTCCCCTTTTGACGCACCGACCAAAGAGGGAACCCAAGAGAACCCTGCAGAACCCAGCCACTAGGTGGACTGAGAACCGCTGAGAACTGAGGCGGCGGAGAGCGAAAGCGAGGGACGAGCGATTGTTACCGCAGACGGACCTCTTCTAGGCAGCCGCCTGCCCGTTGCCCTTGCCGGGGCCCTTGCCCCTCTGGCCCCCGTCTGGGTCCGTGCCCTTGCCCGGGCTTGCGCCTCCCTGGCCGTGGTTCTGGCCCGCGGTCTTGGCCTTCTGCTCGGCCTCCCTGCGCGCCGCGGCAGCTGCCTTCGCGCGGGCAGCCTGGCCCCGCTCCGCCTGCAGCAGCCCCTTCTGGTAGCCGACGTCGTGGTTGAGCTTGTTCTGGGGAGAGGGGGGGCGAAACATATTGTCACTAATTTGCATGCCCGCGGGGTGGAATGTGTGTTCGCGCGACCCGCGCTCCTCCGCCTGCCGCAGGGCAGCCTGGGCAGCCTCCGTCTTCTCGCGCTCCTTGCGGAGCTCCTCCTCCTTCACAAAGAGCGCCGCCTTGTGCCTCGCCCTTTCCCCGTTCAGCTCCAGCTCAGCCAGCCTCTTGCTGCCTGCAGGAAGGGGGCCGGAAAAAGAGCAGTTCGCCGCGGACACCGCGGGCGCCGCATCGTTCACAGTAGCGCGAACATTGCTCCGCCGCCAGCAGGCGGACCTGCTAGCGTCGAAGAAAGCGCTACTGTGCGCGCTGGGAGTCCGCGTAGCAACTACTCTCGTTTCGTGCCACTTTCATTCCCCCGCTATGCCTCTCAGAGCTGCGTTCCATAACTGCTGGTAGGCAGAGTGGTAGGTCCTGGCGTCCCCGTTCGCCGCCCCGAGAGGCGGCCCCTCCCGCAGGGCAGCTTCGAGGCGCTCCTGCTGGTGGCGGAGGGCGGGGCCGGTGTCCACCGCCAGGGCTGCTGAGAGCATCGCGGCAGCCGCCTCGCCGGTGCTTCCCGTCGCCGCCGCCGCTGGCGCCGCCGGCGCCTCCGCCGCCGCCGCAGCTGGCTGCGCCAGTGGTGCTGGCGAAGGCGCCGCGGGCGCTGGCCCCGCGGCGCTGCTCGAGCTGCTACTCGAGCTGCTCGAGCTGGAGCTTGAGCTGCTGCTGGACCCGCGGGTTTTTGGGGCGCGGGCCGCTGGCGGTCCCGCGGGCTTGGGCTTCGCCGCGGGCCTTGACGCCGCTGCCGCTGCCACCGCCGCCGAAGGCGGCGGCCTCGCCTGGAGCGCGGGTGGTGCTGGGGCAGGCGGCGGCTTCGCCTGAGGCGCGGGTGCTGCTGGTTTCGCCGCGGGCCTGGCCGCCGCCACCGCCGCCGCAGGCGGCGGCTTCGCCTGAGGCGCAGGTGCAGGTGCACGCTTCGGCGCCGGCGGTGGCGGGTCTGCGCGCGCTGCTGGGGCAGCCGGGTGGGGTGCGGGCTGGGCGGCCACCTCTGGTGCTGGCGCTGGCGCGGGAGTCTTTTTGGGGCGCCCGGGCTTCCTCCGGGCGGCGGCCGCCTCAGCGCGCCCAGGCAGCTGCAGGCGCCGATCTGGGCCTTTTTTGCCACAGATGTTGCACGTGGACTTTTCGCGCGGCATGCTGGCGGACGCTGCTACAATATCTAACCCAAGGGCGAATTGAGCCCGAGAGTTGCATAAATAAAACGAGGAAGGAGGATTACAAGGTCCAAATGGTTCCAAAACCATTTCAGTCTATGCTAGACGGATGGGGGAGGGTAGGGGGGAGGAAGAAGTTTTATTGACATAAAACGAGAGGGTGGAGAAGGAAGTCGACGCGACAAAACCCGTACCCTCCTCCTCCTCCTCGCCCTCCCCTCCAAAACTGCTCTCCTCCTCCTCCTCCCCCTCCTCCCCCTCCTCCTTCCGTCCTCCTCCTCCTCCTGTTCCTTACTCTTTCCCTCGGTCCTTTCCTCCTCCTCCTCCTCCTCCTCCTCCTCCTCCTCCTCCTCGGGGTTCACTGTGAGGGGGTTTGCCTCGCCCTCGAAGGACCCTGAAATCTCAGCAGGTGTGTCCACGGACGCTCTATCCTGCGAGCTGTATTCGCACTTCAACTGCGGGTCTTGTGGGAAGCGGGTCATCGCAACAGTCTCCTCGCGCGGGCAGTCTGGAACGGCATGCTTGGCTTGCCAGCGACGCGCCCAAGACGGCTCCAAGAGGGGGTCCAAAGGGGAGACCCGTGCGGATATTTCAAGCCCTCGGCCCCGAGAGCCCCCCAGGAGCATCCGACAGGCTCCCGAAAGGCTCCCAAGAGGCCCCAAGAGACCCCAAAAGGCCCCAAGAAGCTCCCAAGAAGCCCTCAGGAGGCCCCCGCGAGCCCCCACGAGGCCCCCAAGCGGCCCCAGGAGGCCTCCCAAATGCCCCGTCCCAAGCACGCAACCAAGTGCCAGCGATGCCACAATATGGGCTGGCGGAATGAGCGAAGCGATTGAATGAAAAATCACGTCGTGCAGCAGCCTTCGTCCTCGTCCTCGTCCTCGTCCTCGTCCTCGTCTTCCTCCTCCTCCTCCTCCTCCTCCTCCTCGTCGTCGTCGTCGTCGTCCTCCTCCTCCTCCTCCTCCTCCTCCTCCTCCTCCTCCTCCCACCACCCCCATCCTCCCCCGCCGACCGCTCCGCCTTTCGCTGCCACTCCGACCCGGCCGCCGGGCGTGCCCAACCTGCCCGGCCTGCCCGGGGTGCCTGGCGTTCCCGGCGTGCCCGGCGTTCCCGGCGTGTCCGGCGTTCCCGGCGTGCTCGGCGTTCCCGGCGTTCCCGGGGTTCCCGGCGTGCCCGGCGTTCCCGGCGTGCCCGGCGTTCCCGGCGTGCCCGGTGTTCCTGGCGTGCCCGGCGTTCCCGGCGTCCCCGACGTTCCCGGCGTTCCCGGCGTTCCCGGCCGGCGTTCCCGGCCGGCGCTCCCGGCGTTCCCGGCCGGCCTCCCGGCGTTCCCGGGGCTCCCGGCGTTCCCGGCGCTCCATCCCCCTCCGAGTGAGTCTGAGCGTGAGTGAGCAGATCACGGGCAAGCCTGATCGTAGGACGTTTGAACGCGAATAGCGAACGCCCTGTGGCCATTCATCCGACCATGAGCTGGCAGAGTTCGCAATGGCATACCCTACATCACACTGGCGCCCAAGAAACTCCAAGACGAAAGGCCTCAAGAGATCAAGCTAGGAGCGGCAGAATTCACATTTAAGAGAGCCCAGCGCGCCCAAGCAGACATCTTAAGAACCCCTTGGATGACCCAGCGCACCCAGAGAGGCCTCAAGCAACGCCCAGCGAGGCCCCAAGGTTTTTTTTTTTATAAAAACAATAAAAAAGGGGTCGCGAAGTGGCTCGCCATCCACGTCGCCGTCGTTCTCCGCCCGCTCCTTCTCCGCGAGCGCCGCGAACGACGGGCCCCCGCTGTCCAGCGCGTCCCGCCGCGCCTTCCTGCGCGCAGCGTGGTCGGGCTTCCAGGCGTGGACGTGCTCCCACCGCGTGAGCCCCGACGCCTCGGACACGCCCAGCCACTCGCACAGCAAGCCGAGGCACCTGCTTTTCGCCCTGTTGGTCCTCAAGGCTCGGCACCCTCGGGTCAGGAAGCACCCAGAGGCCTCGTTCTGGTGGGGCGCCACCAAGCACTGCGCCACCATGGTCTGCGTGGTGGCGTAATAACGGATGATGCCGTTGCGGTGGCGAACCGTGATCGCAGCTGGTACTTTGGCGAGATGCTTCGGGCCGCCTGCGACACCTCCGCCAAGCGCTGCAGGTGGAGGTAGCGCCGCCGCCGCATGCGGCAGCTCTGGTGGCAGCGGCAATGCGGGCTCGACCAAGGCCATCGCAATCGCCCCGCTGATGTCGGCCGCAAGGCCGTCGTGCTCGCCGTCGACGCCGTCGCCTCCAGAAGCGTGGGCGTCGTCGCCCTCGTAACCGTCTGCGTCTCCATCCGAGTCCTCGGGGCCGCCGTCGTCGTCCTCAGACTCCGCGGCATCGGTCTCGCCCTCGTCAGGCTCGGACTGAGATTCGACGCCATCGCTCTTGCTCTCGGAAGAGCTGTCGGATGACGAACTCGACGAACTCGACGAGCCCGAACTGGAAGGCCCATCCGAGCCTGACCCAGAAGCGCCGATCGCGTCGCGACCGGCAAGCGCCGCAACCCCGCCCCTCGCCCTGCCACGCCCGCCGAGCCCGCGGCCTCGGCGCCCAGCGCCGCTCGTTCCTGCAGCGCGTCGCCGTCGGCGCACCTTGCGCGGCGGCGGGTCGACCTCGGGCGCCACGCAGCTGGTGTGCAGCTTCCATGGCTCCACGATGGCGACGTGCCTGGGCCTAGATACAAACTGCCAGAAACTGATTGTCATACCCAGCCCAGCCTCGAAGCTATTGATCATCTCCCACAGGGATCGCCAGAACAACTTCGGGTCCTCGACCCGAATCGGCGATGCACCCAAGACGTCGTCGCAATCCCTGGGCTGGTCCCTCTGAAGCTCAACCACCGTAAGCGAAAAAGGCTTCTGGAAATCAAACGCGATGCGAAAAAAACGATGGGTGATGCCATCGCCACCGCCGCAATGCGGCACAATCGCCGCGGCGTCGCCCGCTGCGCCAGCAGCCTCAGCAGCCCGCGGGGGCGCGGCGAAGCTGAAGCGGAGCACGCCGTCGCCTCTGGCCAGAAGCGCCTTCATCGGAGCTCTTCCACTTGGTTGCATCACGTCGCCGCAAATGCATTGCGCCCAAGCCCATGGGCCCCGCAAGGGCCCTTCAAGGGTCTTCCGACGGCCCCGCAAGGGCCCTTCAAGGGCCCTCGCTCTTCCTCCTCCTCCTCCTCCTCCCTCCTCCTCCTTCTCCTCCTCCTCCTGACCCTCCTCCTCCTCCTCCTCCTCCTCCATCCTTTTTCCTCCTCCGCGCCCTCTCCTCCTCCTCCTCCTCCTCCTCCTCCTCCTCCTCCTCTTCCTCCTCCTTCTCCTCCTTCCAAGCGATCGGGGCCTCGATCAGGGCGCCTTCGAAGTACTGAGTGGCAGGCAAGGGGGCTGCAAACGCGGGGGGGGGGGAGGGGTGCTCGGGGTCAAGCCCCGTCGCCTCGCAACGAACATGTTCGGCAGATGCCGAAGGTCACCTCCGGCCCGCCCCCGCCACGGAGGAGGAGCAGGACGACGAAGAGGAAAAGGGGGAGGATTAGGAGCAGGAGGAGGAGGGGGGGGAGGAGGAGGAGGAGGAGGGCGACGACGAAGGAAGAGGAGTTGAACTAGAGAAGACGGTTCAGCCCCCCCCCCACCCCCCCCCTCAGAACCCCACCGGACAAACCGATAGGCCTCAACCGGGCCCTTTCGAGGCGACGCGTGGGAGCCTAGGACACCAAGAACACCGAATGCCAACGCTGCGACTTCAAACTAGGGGTGGGTGGCGAACCCTCCAGGCGATGCGTCACGTTCTCTGGTGCGTGCACCCCCCAACCACCCCTGCGCGCTCTCCTCAAAGGGTCACCGAGTGGTCAGTGAAGCCCCCAGGGGCATCCTTCAAGGCCCCTGAGAGGCCTAGGGAGGGGCACCAAAGATATCCGAAGGCTCGAGGGTCTCAGTCTACCCCCCCCCCCCAGGACGCATGCGAAGGCCATGGAGGTCCTTGAGGCCAGTGCTTCAAGGACTTCATCAGGCCCTCGTTGAGAAGATGGGGTCGGTAATATTACAATGGTGCAACCAATTGGTGCGCGCCGAGGCCTTCGCGCCCTTATCGGGGCACGCAGCGCGCAGGGCGGCGAACGCGGCCCTGATGTGCTTCTCGATCAGCAGCAGTCTGTCGCCGCCGTCCTCGTGGAAGCACGTCTCCGCCTCGTGGCAGCATCTGCGGGGAGTGGAACAACGGCCCAAGGGAGGCGCGCTGGGCACCGTGAGCGTGCGATGCATGGCCACCCATGCCGAAGCCCGCTGCTGCACGGACTCACGACCATCGCCCTCCAACGCGTTGGCGGCGTCCGACGTCACGGTGGACGCGCGCCTGCGGTATTTCAAAACCATGCCGGTGTCAACCTGAATCTCGATGTCGCCGACGGGGGCAGCGGCCCGATCCACGACGGAGAACATGTCGTTGTCCTGCTCATGGTTGGGCTGCCTGGACGCGGCGGCAGCCTCGCGCACCTCGCCAGCCACGCGGGCCTCGAGCGCGCCCTCCCTGCGGCGCCTGCGAATAGCCGCCGCCCGAGCAGCTGGCGAAGCCTGCAGGATCAGCGAGGGCACATCAGCGAACTGCGACTTCTGAGGTCGAGCATCGCCCGCCGACTCCCCTCGCTGGTCACAGATCGGCGCCGCGCCGAAAGATGGCGACATGCCGCCAGACGCCGAGGACGTTCTTGCCCTCCGACGCCCGTCGAAACCGCGCTCGCCAGAAAGATGACGATCCCGTGCAATGGCAGCCAGGAGCCTGTACTGCTCAAGCTCCTCCCCGCTCAGCTTGGAATACATCTCTGACAACTCGATCGACGATGCTCCAGACACACTGGCACCGTTCATGTACGTAAACGCTCGCCACGTCCAATTCTGGAGGCTGTTGTGCCCACGCCGCGGGTCGCACACCAGGCGCTTCCGCTTCTGGGCAGGCCCTCTCTGAAGGTCAGGGCGCGGTGCTGCGAACACGTCGAAGTCACCCGCCATGTGCGACGTGAAATGAGCACTCACCTCCTCCACGGATTCAATGTGGGTCCAGACCCTGAAGCGCGCAGCCCTCTGGTTCACCGAATGCAACCTCTCCGCGTCGGCGGTGTCCGTGTCGGTCATGACAAGGACGCCCTTCAGCTCGCTCATGGCTTCTGCCGAATCCAATCGGCCCGCGTAGAAGCTGCAGAAATCCTCAGTGCACTCATCCGGGAGGCAGCTCTTGGTCTCCCCAAGGACCTGCACAATACTTGGGTCCTTCAAGGAATATAGCAGCGGCAACGGCCAATTCCGATTGGCCCTGTGAACGAGATGGTCCGCAACCCCGCCCATCCGTGCCAACATGCGGTACACTTTCAGCGCAGTCGCCTCCGTGCGGTCCTGCAACGGGTACCACGCTGCCACGTCGAATATGGCCAGGTACGCGCCGCTCAGCAACTCGATGGCGTTGGCATCCTCATGCGCAAGCCACGCTTCGTAAGTCCTGGGCTGCCCGAGGGACACTCTGTGCTGCTGAGCCTTCTCGAATGACGAACCGCTGGTAGCCAACTGCCTCGAGACGCACGCGTCCGCGCGCGTAGCCAGCACCGTGCCCAAGAACATGCCATCTTCGACGGCGCCGCTGAGCATCCACGCGCGGCTGCCAGCAACCCGCTTGTCCTGCTCCTCTTTGAACGCGTTCTCGTCGTCGGCGTCTGCTCCGCCCTCAGCGCCTGGGCCGCCGACCGAAGGCGCAGGCCGATCGTCACCGCCGCCGTCGCCTCCAGCAGCAGCCCCGCCGCCTCCAGCAGCAGCAGCAGCCCCAGGGCGGGCACCAGCGGCCCCGCGCGGCGCCTTGGGAGCCTTCCCAGGCATCGCGCGCAGGTACGATGCCTGAAAGATGCCATGAACAGCAGCTGGCACGCCAACACATCTGTGGCTCCGTGTCTGGTTGACCCAGTTGGCTCTGTTCAGAACGTCAATCCTGCCGAACAGCGCTGGGACGCCGTGCCGCCGCATCAAGAACAACGTGTGCCGCGGCGATTCGCAACACCCTCTGCAGTAGTGCTCGATGACGCCGTGCTTACGGATGTCGCCATTGTACAGGCGGGACACCACCTCCCTGCGATACACAGTGGTCGGGTCATCGCTGTCGGAGCACAGCTTCCATATGGCATCGCGGTGCGCAGTGGCATCCGCTGGAGGCACACCCCGCTTGACCACGAGCTGTTCTCCATGGAGCAGCCTGGCATGGTGCCTCAATCCCAGGAGATGGTCCCCTGTCAACGACATCTGGCAGCGAACGAGGTTCGTGTCGAAAGGCCGAATCGTCTTGAGCGAATTCTCAGCGACCTTCTTTTTCTTGTGCGCACGGCACAGGAAAACAATCTGAGCTCGGAGAGGCATCGTCTCACGAAAGGCGCGTTCAGAGCGCAGGTTGCCGCTGGCAGCGTCGCAGCAGGCGACGTCGACCAGCCGGGGGAACCTCCGGTCCACCATGCGATCCCAAGGCGAATCCAGCTGGTCGCGCAACGCCGCGTGAACGACCTCTGCAGCGCTCCCTTCCAGCACGCTGAGACGCGTGGGCACGGTGCCGCACACGTGCAAGAACTGGCATGCATCACCATGCCGCCGACGCATCACGATGCCGAACTCGCCCTTCACGACGAAGATCTCGCGCGAACCGACGGCCCGCTCCTCGATGACGTCGTCGTCGTACACCATGGACGCAGTGGTGCCGAGCCTCATGCGCGCCCCGTCGTACTTCCGCTTCCTGAAGAAGACCAAGGGTGTAACGACGGGCGCGGTCTCGTCACGAGACCTAGTCGCAGCAAGAACTCGGCTCACGAGCGAGACGACTTGCGTCTGGGCAGCGGCAAAGGCAGCGTGGGCCGCGGCGTAGACGCACTCCCTGAAGTGGCCACGCGCAATGCCGAGGCGGTCCGCCATCGCCGTGGCCGACGACAGCGTGACGATGCCATCGTCGGCATAGCGTTTCTCCACCAGCACCCGCGTCAGGCTGGCCAGCGAGCCCTGCAGCGGCTCCGCGCCGACGCCGCCAGCAGGTGCAACCACCAGCGCCGCCGCTGGCTGGGCCAGCACTGGCGCCGACTCCAGCGGCACGAGAGCCTGGGCATCGCCCTGCTCAGGGCTCGGACCTCTGCCAGGGCTCTCGGCGAGCCAGTCCTCCCCCTGTTCAGCGGGCGGCTCGCCCTGCGCCGCGTCGCCGTCCTCCAGGTCACCAGCTGGAGTTGGGATGCTCGGCGCACTCCATTCTTCCTCGCTGAGGAAGTCCTCCGAAGGCGAAGCCATCGCGGGGAACCCCAAACCGAAACAGGTTTGAGCCAAAACGGTTACGACATGTTTACATTTTGCAGAACAGCTGGTGCATCGCAATTTCGGCACATCCTCTCACGCATTCCGTCACCCTCTTGGAAGGCACCTTGCGGGCGCTGCGTGGGGGCCCCTTGCAGTGACCTGAGAACCCGCTGAAGCGGCCATCAGCAGGGCCCATTGCAAACACATGTCTGGGGACTCAGTTGGGGGGGTCCCACTCGAGTTCACGCTGGGGAGGTCCCACTCAGTTGGGGGGGACTCAGTTGGGGGGGTCCCACTCATTTGGGGGGGGGACACTCGGGTTCACGTTGAGGGGGGACTCAGTTGGGGGGTCCCACTCAGTTGGCTATGCCAATTGTTTCGCCAACCGCCACCCCCTCCAGTAGGAGGAAAGGACAAGCCCACTTTCTCGGAATACGAAATACCTCTCCCCGTCCTCTCCCAACAAACAAAAATGAGCATCACCTTTTCCAGGACCCCCCGAGCGGTCCATCAGACCCCCTACTCCGAAAGGCTGCGCCCGACGAGAGCGCCATCAGACCCCCATCTCGAAAAGGACGCCGCTGAGGGCATCAAAACCCATCAAACGCTCAAGACAGAGTAGGCTGCCATGAAAGTCTCAAGCATATGGGACAGTTCACTGGGAAACATCTTCCGTGGGACAGGGCCTGCGCTGGCTGGCAAATCCTCCACTGTCTCAGGCATTCGGCGTGATACAGGTGGCCGCATGGTACCAGGGCTTCCGCGAAACCTAGGATGTCTTCGCTGCAGATCATGCATCGAGGGGTTCCTACCTCCCAGCCCCAGGGAGGAACTTCCACGGCGCCCATGCTTTCCGGAGGGAGCCTGACACTGTCTCCGGGAGGGTGGCTGAGTTGGGATAAGCCGTCCCCCAGGCTCTCGATGAGGGCTCTGGCGGACATGCTGGCGTCGAGGTGTGTCAGACTAGCTCCTTCACTGAGGTGGGATATGAGGGCCTGGATTTGTGAGTTGCTGAGGTCGGAGTATGGAGCTAGATCGGCATCCGGGAAGTCCCTCCGAAGGCAGGCCACGAGGTCTTCCGGCGTGTGCATCTCATTCCTGGTCATCCAGCGGTAGAGAACGTCGTAGGGTCGGGAGTCCAGGGCCCGCACAGTCAGCACTGGCTTGAGGAGGGGGAAGTAGTGTGGGGCCAGGCAGAGCCACAGGGCTCTAGAGATCCAGGGATCCGGTTGTCGATCTACCCTGTGTTCCAAGAGCATGCTTTGTGCGAGGCACTGCGCCTGGTCCCCATTGACAGAGGTCCTTTCTCCGGGGGCCGGCATGGCACCTCTGCCTGCCTCCTCTTCATCCCGCTGCCTGGCGTCGAGAGTGCGCATGAGTCTGTCCAGGAGCCCTTCTCTGGTACTGCCAGCTGGTAACCTGCCCTGGGGAGTAGCGACGCTTGCACGGTTGAGCATCTGTCTTATATCCGCGTGCCATGGCGTGGTTGTGCTTGCGGCTTCCACAGTTTCGGTTTCTACTCCAGGGCGTGGTCTGCCCTCGCTCGCGGGCCCGCTGTTCCTTGTGTTTGACCTCGGTCCGGTACTGGCCATTTGCGCCCGAGCCCTCGCTCCAGCCTCCACCGCCTGCCGATCTCCAGACAGGATGGCAGTCTAAAGGAAGCCGCTTGCATCCAGGTGCAGCATCATTCGCTCCTGGAGCTGGGGTGCGATGTAGCCGCCTACCTCGGGGGCCTCGAGCGAGGCACCAGCTGCCCTGGACGCCATGTCTGCTTCGGATGCGAGCGCTAACTGGGCATCCCTGTGGGAGCTGGCGCCTCGTGTTCTCCACCAGGCTGCTGCATGTTCGATAATAGCGGTGCTGAGGTTGCTGCTCCTGAAGGCTAGTTCGAGGACATTTCGACCTCTGTTGGTGGCTGTGCCCCAAATCAAGGGGACCAGGATACTGCTCCAACGCATGCCAGGGGTGACGGAATTGCTTGCGACCCTCGCCCTGATTCTCCTCACCTCCTCGATGAATGCGTCTCGCTGCAAACGTTCCGCCTGAGAAAGCCCCTCCTCCAGGACTGGGGGGGGGTCTTTGGGGGGGCCTGGCAACTTCCCCTTCCAAACCCGCATGGCTGCCCCTGCCGCTGCGGGGGTTGTCCACGCCCATGGGGGCGTGCCCTTCGGTAGGACGCCCAGAACGCTCTTGGTCCTGCCCCCTGTTGTCTGCCTCCAGGCGTCTGATGACGGCGTCCGTGACGAGGTTTCCCAGGGGGTACCCTGCCCCATTAGGGGATGCATTGGGCGCCAGTCGGCGCGCGCGGCTGCTTGCAGCGCCCTTCTCATTACTTCTGCTGTTTCAGAGTAGGGGCTATCTCTATTGTGCCACCAGCGTCTGCTGAGATCGGTGTGATCACGTGCGTCGCTTATAGCGCGGTCAAGGTGGTCCCCGCCGATGGTGTATCTTAACCAGCAGAGGTCGTCCAGGTGCACCCGAGTGTTCGGTCCAATGGGAACGGATGTAGTTGTTCTGCTGGGTAGTGGGGGCCTCCGGTATGTTTGTGGGTGAGTGTCTGTGCCGCCGTGGTAGAGAGAGGGAGGGAACCACCCGTTGAGCCGACCGTGGGGGTGGGACCTGATGACGTGCCGAATTTCCTGGCAGGCGTTTAAGGCCCAGGAGCCTGGCGCTGAGCAAAGTAAAGCCAGCGAGATCGACGCTGTGCGGAGTTGCCAATCGCTTCCGACCTCTTGGAGGCCTCCTGAGTCTTCGTATGACCAGATTTCAGGTAGGCCTGCAGCGTGGGCCACCATATGCCTCCAGGCTCCCAGGAGTTCACCCACAAGCCACGTTGGGGTGAAGTCGGAGGGGCCAGGCGGTGTGGGGGAGTACAGGTGCTCGGCGATTGGGGCGTATCGCATGCCCGCTTTGACGAGCTGAATCAACAGAGTCCCGCCTAGGAGGTCGAGGGCGTCCCTGTTGGGTGGCTGGCCAAGATCTGCTCCTGGGTGACTCTGAGGTGAGGCGTCTGCTCGCGGCTCCTCTGGGTTGTAACTCCAGGGGATGGCCAGCCTGTGGCAAGTGATGCAGGTTCGTCCTGTGGGATCTCGGAGCATCCAGGTGCCACAAAAATTACATCTCTCTCCTGGGCAGAAAAAATCCCGCAGCCGTAGTCTGTAGGCTGTGGTGGACCATGGCCAATCGTCGTCGCAACTGTCGCTCCCTTGGATGGGGACTCCAGGGGTGCCCGCGGCGCTGGCGGGTATTCCCGAGAGGGCGGCCTCTACCCATGGGACTGGGCCTCTACCTGCTCGTCGTCTCGAGTGCACGTCACTTCCCGTACGCTCGAGGTTCCCTCTCGTGATGGCCCACTGCCTGACGTCCCCGTGGTCCGGAAAGTGGACTATGTTTTGCCTGCGCTCGTGAATCAGGACTCGGTGGGCGCAACCCATGACCTCGTTATCCATGGGGTCCTGCGTCCCGTCTGCTCGGTTGGGACCACCGATGTGCAGAGGGGCAGAGTCCTCAGGGGATTTGGTGGGCATGAGCATCCTATCTGTGTCATATCCGTTCGGGGGCTCCATTCCTATGTCGCAGTAGTGTGCAGCTGCGGCCATGGCAACGTACTCGAGCCGTGCTAGTTGCCTCTCAGTCACTGAGGGGCTGGCTGCGTCCATTCTTTCACTCCTTACACTGGGATCATGAGTGATGCTCGCAAAGCGGAAGGCGAGGACCTGGACAGGGTCCGGTTGAACGCCTCCCAGACGCCCTTCATAGTCTCCTCCAGTGATGGACCATACTAGCCAGGTGTGGTCCAGAATGGCGAGGATTGGGGCTGAAGTGGCGACCTCGGAGTAACGTCCAGGGAGGGGGTTTCTACGAGAGCCGTGCGCATGGGGCTGTCAGCTCGTATGCCTGGATGGCCTGGGCGGTGCCTCCTCCACGCGTGGTGTATGAGGAGCTCCAGGTTGCTGGTCTCCCGAGATGTTCTCGGCGCCCCGCGGTTGGGGACCTCGCGCCATGGCCCTGCAGTGTGCACAAGGTGCCGGCGTAGGGCCCTCATGGTGCCCCCCCTGCTTCTGGCGTCTGCGACGCGCGGGCCACAAATGGGCCCGTCCGCCTCCCGGCTGGCCGCCCAGTCAGCATTCGCGTGCCCAGTGGCGTCCAGCCACCGCGCGTGGAGATCCGCAGCGCTTTGCCCCCTGCGTCTCAGCGCTTGGCTGTGGTCGTCAAGGTCTGAGGGGGTGGGCGGGTTCTCCATTCGCAGATCATCTTCCAGGGCGAGATCTGGAGATGGGTAGGAGGGGGGGCCCGTGAGGACGGGACCCCTGTGTGACGTGTGGCTGACCTCGAGGGGCGCGCCGCTGTTCGTCCCAAGGAGGGGCCCCCGCACTCTGCCCTGTGACGGGTAGTCAGGTCCACGACGGCGTTCACCGAGCGCAGCGTTAGGAAACTCGAGCCCAGGGGGCAGGTCGGGAGGGGGGAAGTCGGGGGAAGAGCTGGTGGACGAGGGGGGAAAGGCACGAGGAGATCCATCCGCCGGGATCGGAGACCTAGCCCGATCGATCGGATCGACATGAGGAGCGGCCCCGACCGCGGGATCGAACGAGGAGGCCCGTCGGGCCCTCCAACGGCCAAACCCATGGCAAGGCAGAGGCGATCGATCATCCCTGTGGAGGAGGGCGCCTCCCTGCGATCACTGGAGCCGGGGACCCCCGACTCTCGCACCCCCCCCCCTCAGGCGCGAGGCAAGGCCCGTGGCCTACTCCTGGGGGACATCGGGAGGCCGCGGTATCAGCGCGCATACTGAAGACGCTGTCCCGTCCCGCCGCTGCGGGGGCAGGGTTACAGGTCATGTCTTCCCTCTGCCAGCGATCCCTGGGTTGAACGCCGCGCGCCTCTCTCTGCGTACCGTCGTCCGGTCCAGGGTAGCGACGGAAGGTCGCTCGTTCTGTGTGTATCGCGGGGGGGGGAGTCCCATCCCCTCCTTGAGTGTGGTGCCCAGCGCTCTC